TTACCTAGCTTGAAACATAACTGGTCTCTATTCATTCTCTTTTCACAGATCAAGAATCTTGTCGAGAAGAAAGATTTGTTATGCTTGCTAATTTCCATATGCTTATTTATAGAATTAGATTGCGAAAAAATCATGATTTACACTAAACTTAAATTGATTTTTCACTAATTTAATTAATTACATCTCTTGGTTCTTGTTTCCATCAAGAACGCCCTAGTGATTTGAACGCATAAATGTTGGTTCTTTTGTGAAAAAGCTTCGTACTTATCCGAGAAAACGATCTCGTCAATGTTCCGCACCACGAACCCTAAAGCAGCCTCCTTCAGTTTCTTGCACGAACCAAGATCCGAGACATCAAGAACGTCAAGAACGCTAGATATGTCCAAGCAACTCAGCATATGTTGCTCGCAAAACTCTTGCAAGTAATGAATCATGTACTTATCTGCTGCAACAAACAAAGCATAAACATGTTTCTCCAACTTGTCTAAAGCCAATGTGCCGGTGTATAGAAACTCCAAGAGAGCTTCAAGTTCCTCGGAGTTTAGTTCTTGGAGCGTTATGGCGCTTTCGGGGGCGGTTTTGCATTCGTCTGAATGTAGAATATTCTTGAAGATCTCGGATTTTGAAGCCTACAATATATACAAGCACACAAAATCTTCATATAGAGTTGTCTATATATGTAAGTCTGGATTGAAATAATTTTCTTGAACGGCTGCATTTGTGTTTACATGCTAAAATCTTTTTTTTTTTACTCTTCTTTCATGAATATATATGTATTACATTCGTAAACTCAAATTTTCTTTTTTATTAAAACCCAAACTATGGTTTCATTTGAATGGATAACATATATATACATTATAACATATAAACGTTGAAAAGAACGACTAATAAAAAAAAAAAAATAACAAATTCATGCCATATATATAAAGAAAGAGAGTAGAGATCGTTAGGATTACCAGCAAAGCTCTATGCGCGGAAATCGGAGGGCCATTATCGCCGGGTTTAAGAAGAATATCAGCATGAAGTTGTTCTTTGAAACCCGAAACAAAGCTGCTCAAGAAGGCTATCCTCTTCTTCTGCTCCTCTTCGGTTTCTTTCATGGTCTTCATCCATTTGATCACCTTCTCTAATGGTTGCGGCTGATATACATTTAAAATTCATAAAAAAACTGATCAATTAATCTATTTTTATATCTTTACCAAAACCTAGCGAATGCATATATAGAAGCTTACCTCACAAGAAAACAGAGGAGAAGAAGAAAGAGAAAAGCCATTGTTGACGGTGGACTTGTCGGTCGATTTTCCATGATCTTCTTTCGATCCCTCAAGCTTCTTGAGCAGCGCGATAGTGGTTTTAGCCCCTTCGTAGCATGATCCACATATTGTGTTCCTTGGTGGCCTTAAAATCGATGGCATTGTGGTGCATATTGAGCAATCCATTTGAATTTACTTTTTGTAGTTTCCTCTTCTCTATATTTATCTCTCAATTTCTTGAAGTAAACTTGAGAATATGAAATGGATCAATAGATGAAGATGATGGAGGAGCAGTTTCTTGCTTCAAACTCAAGTTGTCAAATTATTCTTCAAAAGTTGGTTAGAGATGGTTACGTTATTTTTTTTATAATATAAATTTCGCTATAATAATCATACTCGATACATGATTGTTTCCGTAAAGAGTTGTTGAGAATAGTTTAACAAATATAACAACCAAAATGAAATGATTAAGTCATGAAGGAATCTTTCGGGGGGGGGGGGGGGGRGTTGTATAGTTGGAACTTGGAACCTTCATTGGATACTATTAATTAATTATTATAGATAATGAAATTATTCTAACATATATGATTCATAAGCTGGATATATTTGTATGTGCATGATCGTTGATCGATGATGCGTTAAACGTATACAATTAGTAAATTAAATTAGAGAGGAAATAAGAAAGTAAAGATTTGGGATATGATAACTACTTCAAAAGCTAAAAGACTTAGAAGGTAGGAAAAGAAAAAGACTTTCCAACCATTCAACAGCAAATATGTGCAGTGTAAACACGTCGCTCCATCCATCAATATTAAGGCGTATATCTATAGCTTTTCAATATTAAATGACTTTATTTTTGGCAAAATATAAGTACTTTCGTTCTTGTTTTATTAAAAAAAACAATAATCAATTAACTACTCCTAAATTTTGTAAGGGTTGATATTAGAGTGCAATCCGAGTCTTAGCAGTTAGCACGGTTGTAGATTTAG